ATAACTGGAACTGCTGGGTAAAAAAAGGCTTTAATAATAATAAACTTGTAAAAGCTGAAAACTGCTGTCAGACTCAGAGTGAGAATGTTTCACACAGGAAATTCAGCTGAAACGCAGATGTTATTCTGATCTTACCTGAGTTTCATGTGTCACTTCTTCTTTAAGTTTCTGCAAACAGGAAGGAGCAGAAAAACACTGACCTGACTGAGAAACAAACAGCTCCTGATTCCTGAAACACTGACTGGAAAGTTTCCTTTAGACTGCTGTATTGTTTCTGAGGCTGTTTCTGCTTTTTCAGACTCAGTCTAAACCATTACACATTAGAAGGCCATATGTGAGCGATCAGGCCTCTACTCACAGTAACATCCTCCAGTGACCTTCTGCTAGCTTCACTTCTGCTGGAAAGCTACAAGGACCGGTAGAAAATAAAATATCTGAGACAGAAGAATCTGTTAGCTGAGAGCTGCAGTCATCTTTTTACTGATTCATTAGTTTGATCTAGAAAATGAAACGGAACATTCAAAACAATTATGATAAAATCTGTTTACAACAAAACTGCTTGAGTTAAATTCAGTATGATAAACAATCTTCTTTCAGTCCCTTTTCCTCAACAAAAGAAATATCTTAATAGAGAGGTTAAGTCGTTCGTCACATAAATAGTCTAACACTGTTTAAACATTTATCATAGTTTTATTATACAATACATTTTTTGTGCAAGCATTAGGGTTTCTGGGTGAGTATTCCATTTTTGATCTGTCATATTTGATCTGCACCTGTGATTCGGGTGAGAGAGCTGGTCCAGAGCTGTGACAGCAGGGAGTTGAGACTAGTGCAACTCCACTTCTATTTAAAATGTCCATGTTAAATGGGTTGCTCTGTATGGTCATGAGCACACGGCACTTTACTTCAAGATTGTAAAGTCTCAAGTCTTTGAGCTAGAATCCAAGTCAAGTCTCTGGGCTAGAGTCCAAGTCAAGTCTCAAGTCTTTGAGCTAGAATCCAAGTCAAGTCCCAAGTCTCTGAGCTAGAGTCCAAGTCAAGTCCCAAGTCTCTGAGCTAGAGTCCAAGTCAAGTCCCAAGTCTCTGAGCTAGAATCCAAGTCAAGTCTCTGAGCTAGAGTCCAAGTCAAGTCCCAAGTCTCTGAGCTAGAGTCCAAGTCAAGTCCCAAGTCTCTGAGCTAGAGTCCAAGTCAAGTCTCAAGTCTTTGAGCTAGAATCCAAGTCAAGTCCCAAGTCTCTGAGCTAGAGTCCAAGTCAAGTCCCAAGTCTCTGAGCTAGAGTCCAAGTCAAGTCCCAAGTCTCTGAGCTAGAGTCCAAGTCAAGTCCCAAGTCTCTGAGCTAGAATCCAAGTCAAGTCTCTGAGCTAGAGTCCAAGTCAAGTCCCAATTCTCTGAGCTAGAGTCCAAGTCAAGTCCCAAGTCTCTGAGCTAGAGTCCAAGTCAAGTCCCAAGTCTCTGAGCTAGAGTCCAAGTCAAGTCCCAAGTCTCTGAGCTAGAGTCCAAGTCAAGTCCCAAGTCTCTGAGCTAGAGTCCAAGTCAAGTCCCAAGTCTCTGAGCTAGAATCCAAGTCAAGTCTCTGAGCTAGAGTCCAAGTCAAGTCCCAATTCTCTGAGCTAGAGTCCAAGTCAAGTCCCAAGTCTCTGAGCTAGAGTCCAAGTCAAGTCTCAAGTCTTTGAGCTAGAATCCAAGTCAAGTCCCAAGTCTCTGAGCTAGAGTCCAAGTCAAGTCCCAAGTCTCTGAGCTAGAGTCCAAGTCAAGTCCCAAGTCTCTGAGCTAGAATCCAAGTCAAGTCTCTGAGCTAGAGTCCAAGTCAAGTCCCAAGTCTCTGGTCTAGAGTCCAAGTCAAGTCCCAAGTCTCTGAGCTAGAGTCCAAGTCAAGTCTCAAGTCTCTGAGCTAGAGTCCAAGTCAAGTCTCAAGTCTCTGAGCTAGAGTCCAAGTCAAGTCCCAAGTCTCTGAGCTAGAGTCCAAGTCAAGTCCCAAGTCTCTGGGCTAGAGTCCAAGTCAAGTCTCTGAGCTAGAGTCCAAGTCAAGTCCCAAGTCTCTGGGCTAGAGTCCAAGTCAAGTCTCTGAGCTAGAGTCCAAGTCAAGTCCCAAGTCTCTGAGCTAGAGTCCAAGTCAAGTCCCAAGTCTCTGGGCTAGAGTCCAGGTCAAGTCTCTGAGCTAGAGTCCAAGTCAAGTCCCAAGTCACTGAGCTAGAGTCCAAGTCAAGTCCCAAGTCTCTGGGCTAGAGTCCAAGTCAAGTCTCTGAGCTAGAGTCCAAGTCAAGTCCCAAGTCTCTGGGCTAGAGTCCAAGTCAAGTCTCTGAGCTAGAGTCCAAGTCAAGTCCCAAGTCTCTGGTCTAGAGTCCAGGTCAAGTCACTGAGCCAGAGTCCAAGTCAAATCTCAAGTCACTGAGCTAGAGTCCAAGTCAAGTCTCAAGTCACTGAGCTAGAGTCCAAGTCAAATCTCAAGTCACTGAGCTAGAGTCCAAGTCAAGTCACTGAGCTAGAGTCCAAGTCAAGTTTCAAGTCACTGAGCCAGAGTCCAAGTCAAGTCACTGAGCTAGAGTCCAAGTCAAGTCTACAGTCCAATTGAGAAACGCGGTGCATTTCTCAGTTGTCTCTTTGTACTTTTGGGGAGGGTTCACACTCTCCTACAGTGTTATGTTACATACAGGTTAAGGGCAACTAGCACCTCCTTGTGGTTCCTTTAAAACTGCTGTCAGCTGAATGTTAATGCTGTATTGGTTAATTGTGATCACATGGGTAGGGCCATAGTTTTTGGATTAGTGTGGAAAATGTATGTGATTGATCTTTGTTTTATCCTCAGCATCCACCTGTATTGAACCCCGGAGAAGCTTTGATTGTGAGTTATATTACGTGTTTTGACTTTATAGATGAATATCGATGCATATGTTAATTATATGTTGTATAAATTCAGATTTGGTGAGATTTATAGATCATAAATTTTTTTAAATTTCAACACTGTCTGCTCTTAGTTTCACAGAGTTGTTGAAAAACACTGTAAGAAAGCAAGTTGATGAAGACAAACACGTAAACACTTTACTTCCACGTCTCCTCATCATTTAACCCTTTCAGTGTGTAAGACATCTGTTTAGCTATCTGTCACCTTGTGTAGAGCCACACATGCAGTGGACAGTTTTATCTTTACAGTCTAAGGAATGCGTTTCACAAATTCGTCTCTTTTCCGTAATGTAAATGCTCTGTATTTGTATAGCGCCTTTCTAGTCTTTGTGACCACTCAAACAGAAACTTACATTCACACACATTCATACACTGATGGAACAGCCAGTAAGATCTACATTAATGCCTTCTACTCTGCAAAGGTATTAAATGTAAATTTAAAGGCGCTATATAAATGTATAGCGCCTTTCTAGTGTTTGTGACCACTCAAAGCGCTTTTACACTAGATTGCATTCACCATTCACACAGTTAGCCGTAGTCCTCAAACAGAAACATTCATACACTGGTGAAATAGCCACCAGTTCTGGGTTCAGTATCTCGCCCAAGGACCTTGTAATAGTCCCCTATTCCGCCTTCAGGTACAGCTTTTAATGTGTTGGTAAACCTGCTTTATGTGTATTGGTTTTGCGTGTAAAAACGCACCTGTATATCAGAAGCCTGCGGTGTACCATGGATTGTTATAAGGACCTTTCTTCATGTATTTTTTCCCACTCATTATTGTTTTGCCACGGGGTAGGTTTTAAAAGGAGAGTGGGAAGTGACGTTTGAAGGGAACTCTGGAGTGCAACAGGTGGAGCGGTCGGAGTTTAGTGTAATGTTTGCCGGACGAACTCAACAGAGGAACAAAGCAACTCTGTTTGCCGGATTAAATGTTGGGGCTTTTCTGGACTGCGGCATCATCCCATTGGCTAAACAGACCGGGGCGAGGTTGCGTAAGTTAACTGTGGAGTATTATTGACTGCAGCGGCTCGCCATGCTTCACCTGCCATCTTTTCCTGGGAATAAACATTAGAACTGCTGGGACATTGGGGGTTTTGGAGGGTGAATTGAATGTATGTCGGAAATGGTGATAAAGTCTGTAATGTTTGTTTGATGTGTTGGAGCAACTAATATCTTTGAGTGCTGCCCGCCGTGGTCCACATAGAGATGTTGGATGACACGACGACCGCTGCATTCATCAATGCTTTACGGTGTTTCCTAGCCAACCGTGGAGCCGTCAGACATATCAGATCAGAACAGTAAGGAGTGTGCTTGGCTCAGTCCTTACTCACAGTGCTGGAAGATTGGACACTTCCTTAAGAACCTTCCTTTATGAAGCCATGTTCATTGTAAACAATCGCCCCCTTACTGTTGATAGTATCAGTGATCCCACAAGTATGGAGCCATTAACACCAAATCATCTGCTCACCATGAAATCCTCTGTTCCTCTGCCCCCGCCAGGTAACTTTGTTAAAGAAGACTTGTATGCCAAAAAACGTTGGAGACGGGTGCAATATCTGTCTGAGCAATTTTGGAATAGGTGGAAGAAAGAATACCTTGCCAATATCACTCTTAGGCAACGATGGCACGCTCCAAGGCGCAATGTGCAAGTCGGAGATATCGTCATTGTAAAGGAAGAAGAGCTGCCTCGTAATGAATGGAAACTTGCCAAGGTTCTTAAAGTACACGAGAATGATGATGGGCTGGTGCGAAGACTTACAATACAGATTGGAGAGCGGAAGTTAGGAAAGGGGGGGAACGCCTCAGCAAGCCATCCATCATTGAGCGACACATTCAGAAGTTCGTTATTCTCGTAGAAAGCAGCTAAAATTCTGCTGACCACATATGTCCTTTCTGTGTTGTTAAAGGAAGTTTATTTTTCTTCTCTCAGTTGATATTGTAACATTTAACTTTAATCTGGTGTATACTGTATATCATTAAATGGAGAGTTTAGTTTCAGATGTTTTATGAGTGACCTTGACAAATGCTTTGAAATAACCATTGATTTATTAGATTAATATGAATGTATAAAACACCAAGGTTGTATGATATGTTATTAATTAATCAAAGGTCATTTTGTAGCTGACGCTAAATCCAGCGTAAACCCGTTTCCATGACAACACCGGAAGTCGCTCGTTCGCGACCTTTACGACGATAAAGTCGTTTCGTAATGCAGTTATAATATGTGTTTACTTGTTGAATGTAATTCTGAGTAAAAGTGTGACTTAAAGCTGTGTTTACATTGCTCTTGTTAAATTTATGAAGAAGAGAAAGGTTTATCGCCAGTCACATGACTGTTACCCGGAAGTACTGAGGAAGGCGAACTTTTAAGCTCCCGTCTGTTGTTCTACAGCTGGTCTACAAGGCGAACACGGTAATTATTAAGTTAATTATTAAGCACTGTTTAATGTTGTTTACAGGAAAATGTGAGACACATTGTATCGGTCTGTATAAGAAATAAGAGAGTATATAAACGTTGTTTTGGTGGTGCTTGGTGCTTGAAACGGTTTTGTTTATCCTCTAGTTTTCACGCTGTCCATGATACTTCAGAGGAGAATAAATGTGAACGTGGACATCAGTAAGAGGCGTGGACTCTCTTTATGACCAGGGTAGCTAAAGATTGACCGTCTGAACCACAGCGCTGCTTGTGATTAGTATTATTGGGTGGACGTCTGAGCTAGCGTGCAGACTAACTTCGGTTGTTGGAAAAAAGAACTTGTGGATTAAGCAAATTAGGTTAAAACCAGAATAAGTGCAGCCAGGACAATGACTGCATGTCGAACACACAAAAAGAAAACTATGCACCTGTCGTTCAGTTATCAGCCTCACACACGTCCCTCTCCTTGACTATTGGCTTCATCTTGTCACACATCTGAAACTGCACTGAAAACACCTGTGAAGAGAAGAGATTTCACAGGTCTTCTATATATCTGTTGGGCCGCAGTGATATTTTAAAGTGTCAGTCACACATCAATTGTCTGTTGGGGAAACGTAGAAGACATGACTGCATGACTTATGCTGCTCTTTTGTCTCCGCTGAGGACTTCCTGAAATGAGCCTTCAGCCATGAATTGGTTCTACATAAAGCTGAATCCACAAGGGTTTAAATATACAGAATATGTTCTTTGACAAATTGTTCTGGGAGTTCAGCCATTCACTGAATATAAACAAGTTTTTCACTGTTCAAATTGCAATTAGGAATAATGTTTTACTGTGTATTTTAATGGACCGTTAGGGCTTCATCAGTACCAGGAAGCAGACGTCAGCAGTTAGAGGGCAGCTGAATATTAATCCATGATGGTGGCGCAAAACGGGAATATTTACAATGTTCACAGAGTGAATATATTTTGCTAAAAGCTCATTTAGTAGCTTTGTGATTGATGTGGATTTAGGTAAAAATGGTTGCCATGAGCTTTTAGCTGACCGTCATAGCTTTGGTGGAGGTGTGTAACATTGATAGGCTGGACATCATATTCAAAAACAATATTTTGCACAAAAATCACCCCAGTAGCTACGGTATCAGGGTCCTACATTAAAGAACCTAGCCTGCATATTAAAATTCTGAACATTGTATTATATTGTGAAATATCACAGTTAAAGCCTGTGAAGTGATAATGATAAATTAATTATAATAATAATAATAATAATCCTTATTTGTAGAGCACTTTTCAAAAACAAGTTACAAAGTGCTTTAACAAGTGTAAAGACAATAATACAAAAACAATAATACAAAAACAATACAAGATAAAAGCAAGAAAACATTGAAAAGACTAAAATAATTGTGTAATATACAGTTACATCTGAAATAATTTAAGGTGCAGCCTTGATGGTTTTATGTAACCAGCAGTGACCCCTGACCCTCAGTGACCCCTGACCCTCAGTGACCCCTGACCCTCAGTGACCCCTGACCTTCAGTGACCCCTGACCTTCAGTGACCCCTGTCCTCCTGTTGCAGGTGTGTCGGTGCTGCTGCTGTCTGGACTGACTGATTCTGCAGGTGAGCTGATGGAAGTGAAAACAATCACTGACACTAGGCCTGTCACAATTACTGTTAGAAGATATATTGTCCCCGAAATAATTATTGTGAGAAACAGTGTTATTGTAATTTGTAATAACAAAGAAACTGATTTTTTTACTCTGAATTGAAATGTCATAATAATGATTATAATAAATAAATAAATGAATAAATAAATAAATAACACCTTACAACCAAAACAACCTGCGCCAGGAGCCGAGAGCTTGGACCTTTTTTGGTCTGTATTAATTGTGTATTGTTATATATATATATAATATATACGATTCGGAGTCTTCAAAGGTGTTTTATTTTGAAAAACTGACCAGGTTCTGCTTGACTGCATATTCTCTGCAGAGTGGAATAACCAGAATAATTAAGGTCAGGTCCATATATTGTCCGATATTGTAATTATCGGGACAGGCCTCTCTGTCTGCCTCACTCTCTGTAAAAGGTTAATGGTCCATATTTGTAATATATATAGCAGAGGTCACTAATAGGCGGACCGCGGTCCGGATCCGGACCCAGCCGCCGTTCTCTCCGGACCGCCGACCTACAGCCCATTTATTATTGAGACTTACTACCTCGTGACGGAGCGTTTCTATTTTAACCCGCGCAGCTTTTCCAGCATTTACTGTACTGGTTTAGAGGACCAGGAAACTCACAGACCAATCGCATGTGCTCCAATCGTCTCATGTGACGCTGCTCAGCCAATCAAATCTGCGCATACCGATGCTTGCGAGTCGAGTCCGCGAGATTCACCAGAGACGTTTTGGAAACACACCCGAATTGAGGAGACGAAAATAAAAGAGATTTCACATGACTTTTAATCAAGAATGTACAGATTTTTACATGTACATTCCTCCCACGGGCAGTTCAAAACCAGAATATCTCATAGATCTCCAATATGCTAGCTGGAGCTCACGTTTCTCACTGAACAACAGAAAGTAGGAAAGTGGTAGCTCTGTAAGAGGAAATGAAAGAGAAGAGGAGGCTTTACAGCTGTTCAGTTGTGTGTTTATTATAAAATTGGTTAAGACTACACTTCATCACTTCAAGCTACACTTTTTATTACATTTTTTCTAAAATTAGGCACTTTAATTTACTTAAATTTAGAATTTATTATTTGAATAGTTATTATTTATTATCCCTCCAGTTTGATGTGAAAACTGACTGAAATATTATTTGATTTGACAGTCCGTTGTTGACTAAAAACATGTGTTGATACAACTATAGGTTATAGTACTGAATGATAATGCAAGTTCGTCGTTTTGATGTTCTGGACCTTTGCTTCAGGAAATTTTCTCTAACTAGACCTCTTTGAAATCTAACTGAATACCCCTGATTTATAATGTGATAACTTCAACTTGATGAAAGCAAACATTTATGTGGCCTAACAAACAGAGTCACCAGTGAAAGGTGCACTATTGGCCTAAATATCACTGGAAAATCCAAAATTCATTTGTAATTCAAAAACGAAAATAACGTCTGTCTGTTTCAAAACAAAAAACTATATAACCTAATTATATATTTAGTCTATATATAAATACATATTAAAGGTACATCATTTGACATTATCCTTATGCACAAAAGCAGTGCCTCGTTTACAAGGTGTGGCTTACCATAAACCAGGTACTAGCAGTGAAAAGCACATTATTAAGACATTTTCATTAGTTATTTTTGACGGATGCATTGCAGCCTTCAGCAATATTATTCATTCATTTTACTTCAGTCACAGATGCTGACACCCTGGATGACCTCTACAGTAATCTTAAAGTATTTCATACATTTCCATTATATGGTTACTGGCACTCGATGTGCCTTTCTTGATTATAAAGTAATATTCCACAGTGTTGTCCACCTTTAGTTGGCCTGCATTAAAACAACACGGGGCGCAGTGTCAAAGATGCGCTTTTTGTAGTCCATCTTCAGAACATTGTAGTTCCATCATGGCAGGACACGTCGCCTATAAAGAGCAGTCGGATTCTCTGAGCCCCGCGGTCGTCTTTTCCTGAATTTTCCTTCACATTTTTCCTTGACCTCATGACGTTTTCCATCGAGGTCAAAGAAAGCTGGTGAGGAAAGGACTTTCTTTCTTTTTATTTCGAGCACAGCCCTAGATTGACGGTAATTGGTTGTGAAATCCTGATCAGAGATGAGAAGGAAATGAAATCGCTCTCTCGTCAGCTACTTCCACTGGTTTCCTTATGTTGTCAAATCAGATGTATGCTGGCCCACATGGAGGTTGCTTCTGGGCCGGATGTGGCCCACAGGCTGCCAAGTGAATGGGGCTGCTAAAGGGTATATATACATATATAGGCCTAGATAATTATTATTAGGTTTCAGAATTGTATAATCCTTCCAAATTAAAGTCCCAGTTCACTGGACCAATAAGTGTATTGTGCACTGTTAATTCATGAAACAACAGGGAGAGGACACCACAATGTTTCTGATCAGCTGTTTCCTCTGTAGGTGTCTTGCTGGATATTACCATAACTCACAGAGACGGTAGCTGTTTGCCCGCTTGCAACACATTCCTAAATATTTTCTTCGAGGCTGATTTCTTTGCTCCTGCCGCATGGAACCAAACCAGTTAAAATGCCCAGCAGCCGGCTTCGGAGCCAAAAATGGAACTAACTGAAGTGCGATGATGGACATGCACTATTTCTAAAGAGCGATTTTCTCGGATTGAGCAGCACTTTGACTCTCTCCAATCAGATGTATCATTATTGTAAGAAGAAACCCGAGCACTCCGTGAAGCTCACACAACTTTAAAGAAAAAAGCAGAAAAAGTCTAGAAAGATCTTGAAGACCGCAGCAAAAGAAACAACATCTGTGTTCACGGACTGCCTGAAGGAAGATAAGGCTCTAATTCAATGTCATGGAAAAAGCTCGCCAGGCAGCTTTCTCTGCACACAATGCAATTCAGGTTTCAGTATTTTGCCCAAGAAATCCAGACTGGGAGAGGCAGGGATCGAACCACCCTCCTTCTGATAAGTGGACGACCCCCCTGTCTGTTTGTCTCTACTTCAGTTCAGTTGGTGTGACGCACATAAAATATATGGTCCCATTTTTTATATGTACTCCAGCACTTGCTGATGTTTTATTGTCAGTTTTGTGGACTTTCTGGGTGCAATACTCAGCAACTTCAGTAAGCGGCAGCAGGACGCTGGCAGCTGACCAGAACGCTGCTTTACGCTCTTGTTGACTCTGGGGCATTCTGCTACGAGGAGTCAATACAGCAGCAGTGTAACGTTATCCTGTCTGCTCATTTCACCTTTTATGAGGTTAGTGTCATGAATAAACACGAAGAAAAAACATAGGTGGTGCATGAATGTTTTAACGCATTTTAGATGACCTGTAAGTAGGTCGAGGAAGTTTTATTAGTCCTGTTTTATTATTTGTTGTGCCTCTAAACATAGGCTAGCACATGGGAAGTCAGAATTTACCAGTTCAAAGGTCAAAATTACAAAAGGAAGGCCTCCTTAATTCGGATTTCTGACTTGGTAAGTTGGGAGAACCGCACTACCCCAACTTTGTGATCCAAGATGGCTGTCGTGGTATCAACAGATAGTGAAAGCTGTAGTTTATACTGTTCTGGCACTTCTGTGTACTTGTCAGTCATAGAAATGTTCGTACACAAAGTGCTGTCCAACAGCTGTCTGTGGACGTGTTGCTACAGTCTTCAGTGAGAGTAAATACCACACAATGCTTTTTTTTAATCAACCGGCGTATCAATAGCTAACCTGGTTAGTTGTAAACAAACAGGTGGCCGAGCGAGGTTTTCCGACTTGTTAACTGGAACGCCGTCAACTCAGCTCCGACTTCTGAAGTAGATGGAACCCAGAATAAGTGGTGGCTAGATTAACTGGTTGTAATCCCAAATGTGTTGCAGTCATGGTTTCAGGATCCACTGACTGCAACCCAGGAAATATGTTCTGATACCTTTTGTTATAGCACAATTTAAGAAACAACAAGGTTACCAAAGTGCTTTACAGAGATAAAATATGTTTATGATAATAAAAACAAAACAAATAGCATCAACAATAACAGCGACAACAAAGACCACAGCAGCTCTCATGGTGAATTAAAAGCCAGGGAATAAAAATATGTTTTTAAACAGATTTAAAGGTGTGGAGGGTGGGCGCCACTTTAATGTGTGGAGGTAAGTCATTCCACAGTTTGGGGGCAACAGCTGAAAAAGTCCCGTGTCTTCAGCCTGGTCCTGGGCACGTTCAGCCGCAGCTGATCAGCAGACCTCAGTGACCTTGGCGGGGTGTAAGTGTGCAGGATCGATCAGCCGTCACCTCAACAGAATAAAGATGATTAACAGTGAGGTATCGCTCCAACAGAGCGGCCTCACTGGATCACACAGGGGCCGTCACAACAGTTTGTCATACTGTATTTAAACAGTCAGGGTGTTCAGGCTGAGTTACACTCTGCCTGAACGCAGCGTGGAGTCAGCTGTGGCCACGGTACTGTATGCTCAAGTTAACTGTATATGTGTCCCATATCACTCACTTATTTAGCAAACACACACACACAAGCTGGAAGCAGCGTGCAGAAACTAAAATCAGCTGAGAATGGTGTAGGCTATACGATGTAGGTACATGAGGTCACAGATGATGTGTGAGTAGGTTGAACAGAGATTACAAATAACATGTGAGTGAACCGTGTTACTGTAGCCAGACAATATAAAGCTGGACAACATATTTCAGAATTACTGGCTGTATAATTTCCTGACTGTCACTATTAAGACCCACCAAAATCAAATCCTTAACACAGGCAACACACCAGCTGTGGTGTAACAACACAAAACACACTTTCCACATGTTAACAGGGTTCATATGCAATGCAAGCTCAGGGTCGTGTTACATAGAGGGTAGAGACCATTTACTGTGACTAAAGAAGACAACAATAAAGATTAGTCACTGAATGTATTGATTGACAGTATGAAACTCAGCTAAGTCTGTGGCACACAGCAG